TCTCAGATGACTAAGCTGCCTGGCCAAAATACTACCTTTCAACCAAGTGTAAAGTTGATCGTGACCATTCACCCCATGGTGACCGTAACCATTCACAAATCTACACCCACTGAAGTTTCCTTTACCTAATTAATTAATTTATTAATTCCCTCTACCTTTTTTGCCAATAGTTAAGCGTTCTGGAAATACAAAGTATGCCGCAAAAAAGAAACCCCCACCTAAAACCACCCAGAGAGAAATGAGCCTTGCAGAGAAGGGCATGATAATCGCCTTTTTCTACTGCCTCTGGAATGTTACCTTGGTGACTTAAATTATTAAACACTGATGGACAACAATTAAGAGCTTTCTTATCCGGGCATGTGAATGTCAATCTCTTGAAAATCTCCCTCGTCCCTGTCGCACCCCCATTTTGAGTGGTCAACAGCATTGTACAATTATACAGGCAGCCAAGTCCAACCGGAAAATGACCAGATGCACCTTTAGGGATCGCTATGTACCCAGTGTTTCTCTTGATACTGGTAACTCTTTGTGCTACCAAGAGTGACTGGATATGATTGCCTACTAAATTTGCCAGCATAGTGGACCGGGTACTCAGAAAAGCAAATATTAAAAAATGGATATTCAAGTCAAGACCTAGCTAAAGCCTAATCATGTGGCTAAGAGATTGAGATGGGCTACAGCTCATAGGGGCTAGACAGCTGAGGATTTTGATAGAGTGATTTGAAGTGATGAGTGCAATGTGGAGAAATCCAAGGATCTAAAGTAACAAGAGGTATTCAGAGAACCTGCAGAGAAGTAGTTGGCTGATTATGTTCACCCAAAGAAGAAGGATAAGTGAATCTCGCTTATAGTTTGGGGGTGCTTTTGGAATAAAAGAAAAGGTCCATTAGTTCCTATTACTCAAACTATCAATAAGACCAGGTATGTTAGACTTTTCATAAGATATCTTTTTCCTGTTATTCATCAAATGATTTCCTTTGGTATACAACTTGAAGATATTCTTTTTCAGCAAGATAATGCTCCTGTTCACAAGGCATATAGTGTTATGGATTGCTTGGAGAGAAACAGTATTGAGGTCATGGACCACCCCTCTTATTCTCCTGATTTAAATCATATTGAGCATGTATGGGTTGAGCTGAAAAAGCAATTGCACTAGCAGTATCCAAGAATTGCAGATACTCCAGGAGGAAAACAGGCTATTAGGAGAAGCTTTACACATGTATCACAATTAGTTTGGAAGACAATTCGTGAGGAGTTTTTTGAGAAGTTGTGGAAATTAATACCTGATAGGGTGGCTGCAGTTTTAGAAGCAAGGGGAGGTTATACAAAATATTAGCTAATTTAATTTATGGCAGGTCAATTGACCATTAAATGTTGAGAGGAGCCAGTGGTTGTTGATCGTGAACTAGAACTAGCACGCACCCACACCCGTTGACAGCCCGACTAGTACTGCCCTACTATATGGTACAACTGCAATTAAACATTGTCTCAGATCATGAACACTTCTGCTGAGTGACTGTAATTCTGTTGTATTTTCTTCTTTAAACAGGTCATGGAACCTGTGATACTATTTCAGTATATCATCCTACCAGACTTGTTGTAGGGAGACTCAATAGAGTGCTAATACAATTAGCTAAACCTAGGCCCATACCGGTAGCAAAAGACTACCACAGTAGGAATGGTGGTAGGCAAGAGCGTACTAAGTAGAGGTACTATTAGTTAGGTACCTCAGTTGGACATGCTATACTATACTAAGAAGTACCCAAGTACTAGTAGGAAGCAGTGGTTACCGTACTGGGTAGGGTAACTCAAGTGGTCAATTTGAAAATTACTCCTTCCTTGTTTGATAGTGAATCCCAGTAGAGTTACCCTATCTTTGGACCTGAGTTACCACTCTTTGGATCCTGAATTACTCTACTATAGAGCTAAGTTATCCTACCTTGAAAGTAACTTGTCATACAGGTCTTTGGGAGAAGTTACTATATTATTTTTTATGAGAAACTACAGAGGATATTCACATCTCAGGTTGTGTAGGAGTGATCTGCACAAACAGTTGAGGTTTAAACAAGCTGTAACTTGGAGATATGGTAGCTAACATACCTCTCTGGGCCTGTTATAAGTTTCTAGAGTCAGGAGCTACAGCCTGAAGAGTTGCGGTAAGTCTAGTAAAGGTCTCTAAGTGGAGACACTCTTGTAATACAGTATATGCTCAGGCTGTCTAGTTAACCGGAAGCTGTCTACAGGATATATCAAGGGGCTGGGGAGAACCTGGAGAATGGTCTCCAGGTAGTTTCATGTAAATCAGACCAGAACTGGCAGAGTAATACCACTTTAAAGTTGGAAGTAGTATATGAGGTCAGCAGAGGCCTATAGGTGAGGTAACCGAAGTCTGTTGTCCTAAAAGTGTAATAGTATTAGTGAATCGTTAAGCACTCTAAGACACTTGTCTGAGATCACGATGAGACCTACTTCCAGGAGGATTGACAATGGGTAGCGCTTATTGGTAGTTAACTTACCAAGAGGTCAATCGAGAGAGTTACTTGGCCACCACTGGAATGATATAAAATAGAGTAATACCAGATAGATGTTCACAGGTTGCGAATGCTTGTAGAAAACTAAGTATATATAGGAAGAGAGTTCCATAGTTGGTATTGCATCCTCGTGAGTATGATGGCTTGCCTCTGATATGTCTGCAATAAGAAGAATTTTTCCTCCTGTGGTTGCATTGTGGATGTAGTGGTTAACATGTTTCTGTTGGGTGGATGTTCGCAAACTACACAGTAGTCTGGTTTGCTATGGAGAATCTTTGGTCAGACTCATAGAGATTAGCTAGACAGCCCAAAGAAGTTGGCTGCTCACCAACATAAAGTGGTAATGGCGAGCAATTGGCAGTACATGAAATCTACTGCAGTATATGCAAGTTCTCCTCTACTCTGGCAATCAACTACCTCTCGAGATCTGGACTGAATTGAGAGCTCTAGCCTAACAATTTTAAGTTTTACTGTTTTCTTTCTTTAAACTCTACTTCTAACATCCTAAAATTTTATTATATTGGTTCTCAGAAGAATTCTTCTTGGTGCAATTGTAACCTCTGGATCCATCAGCCCAAAGGGAGCTCCAGTTACATCAAGTAAGTTATATGCACAAGAGCCACAACTCATAGTCACTTGAAGTCATGGGCAAAATCCTGTCACATCCGGGACAGTGCGAACATTTTTGGCATTACGCGAAAAACCTTTCACTGTCCTTGCATCTCTAGAGGTTCTATTCTCTTGCAAGATAATTTGTCAGAATGATTAGGCAAAGTGCGATAGGTTTATTGCACAGTCCCCAACCTTACTTAAGACTAAATTATCCCTTGGTAAAGACGTCTCTCTACAATTGGGACAATTGTCGCAATATGTCTACTTTCACCCAAAAACTATGGGCAAACCTAACCGTAGATCTTCTCTTTGAAGTCACCACGGAAAAGAACTCATATTAGTGCCTCCCAGTGTAAGGTTCACTTGGGATGTGTGGAGGGCTACAGCCACCACACAGCGCCCTTGTGACTTGGTCAGGAGGTGGAGTGAGATTGTAAGTTCCGCATGTGCTCCTTAGGAGTCCACCAAAAGACAAGTCCCACTTAGCAGTAAGGTAAGTCTCCATCCCCAGCTCCCTGATGAGTCTCCATCAATGTAGACAAAACACCACCCAATGATATAAAGAGACACCACCTTCCACAGAAGACAACTCGCTATTTACCAGTGTCTGCACTTCCCTATCTTATTTACACGCAGAGAAGATTTTTCTGCTCATTAACATACCATGTCCTTCCAATTTACTGCTATAGTAAATATACACTCGACGGGACCTTCGGCCCCGTCTTCGGTGATAGCTCCCCAGAGCTGTAACTATCCCACAACATCAGTTCACATCCTAGGCAGACAACCAACTGAAAACAGTCAAAGTCTCAGACTCTGCGATAAAAAAAAAATGAAAGGTTAAGGAGTGTAAAAGAAGGTACTCGTGATCAACACAGAGAATCGTGAGAAACGAACGGATAGTCGAACAGAACTTGCGTGCTTCTATCTTGGCCCTCGCAGGTCAAGAGGATGTGAACAGAGCAGAGCAAGAGCTATTAAATGGAGGGGTACCTAAACTAACATCCAAGGCCTAGTCCGCCTCACCAACCAACCCGCGGAGAGAGCGTGGAGAGAGAAATGGTGTGGTATCGAAAACCGCCCGTACAATACCCAGTAGAAATGTCCGAAGTGATCACCCCTAACTCGAGTGGTCAACTCCCAAATCTCTTAGAAGGGTATATACAATAAGAAAACCACCCCGGGGTCCTCACACACCCGAGGCCCAATAAGAGCATACCGTAATTCCATTTTTCTTAATCTAGAAGCGTTTCACGAGTACTGTGCCCATACTACCGACCACCCCCACCGTGCTGAGAAGTCTTCACCGAAAAATTACTGAACCCGGTGATGCTACCCACCTACCTACCGAACCAAAAAAAAAAAAACTATTCAAGCCCACGATTTTCCGAAGGATTTTAGCAGACGACATCATAAAGCACTATCTCCTCCCCGCCTAAATTTCTACAAGTACGCCATATACACGCCATGATAGTAGTTAGCAAAATCACGAGAAGTATGATAAGGTCCTCTAAATTGCGCTAGTAAAAACAGAGATCTTGGCAAAATGAAAGCCCGGCTCCACTGCTCATATGGGTACTGGTTTCTCATGATACTACTCACCTATGATAACTTAAGTGCATATAAAATACTAAACTCGGTGAACCACTTCCCGGTTCCTAAAGGTTTCCGGTAGGTAGGAGTGAGCGGTTGGTTTGGAAGGAATTACATAGCCAAATGGGCTTTGAAGTTATTCCATTAAAGGTGAACGTGCTGGAAACTCTCAACCACCTACTGTATCCCCAATGCAGCATCTGGACAGCGACTACGGTACGGTGTCCATCATAAATACAGCAGGAGAGAAGGTATAATAGACCATATAGTACCGAGCCTCCAACACAGTCAAGAATGTGAAACCTATATTCCCCTAACAAAGTTTTTCAACACCCCAGGGGCTATAGAAGCTTAAATACAACAATGGAGTAGGGAGCTCCTCCTTCCATCATAGTGTGATGCAGAAATATCCCCATGGTACCGCACCGAATCCCATGTCACCCCAGGGGAATAAAGCACACATAACCCAAGGGCACCCAATCACTCGGCCCCAGCGATAGCCGAGTACCGTATGATGCAATGCAGGGCTACAGTACACAAATAGCCTCTTCTCATTCCGGAGGGAACCCCTCCCACAAGCAATCGGGAATCTGCGGCGCTGTTTTTCGTAAACTGCCATAATGCCAAAACTCAAGAGTATATATATCAAAAATAGCAATACGGCAGAATTGCATCCGTAGTTAATTTCTACTAATAAACCAAAGCCCAACCAACTAACCAGGCAGCAAAGGTAAAAACCCATACACGCAAAAGCAATCTAAATTAACCAACCCAACCCAATCTTACAGCTTCATACCCAGCGCCTGGTGAACCTTCAAGCTCTGCCTGATGCTGAGATCCAACATAATCTCTTCGCTACCACCGGGAATAGCGTATCCCCGAACATCTCTATATAGCCGCTCAACCTTGGCTCCGACACCACCTTTAGTGTATCCGATCCCACCAAAGATCTGGGTAGCCTCTCGGGCGCAGAATTCGAAGGTTGTGGTACTCTGAGCCTTCAATCCTGCAATGGCACCCCCGAGCTTCAACATCGCTTCCGTGTCACCCATGCACGAGCCCTGGTAAACGATGTTCTCTAACCAGTTGTGCGTCGCTTCGATTTGACGGGCCATATGTGCGAGTTTCATACGTATTACGGGGTGCTCGATCAGCTTCTTGCCGAATGTACGGCGGCGGTTGGCGTACTTCATTGACTCCTCGTAGAGGACGCGAGAGAAGCGAGTGCACTGGATGACTATACCAAGGCGTTCGTGGTTGAAGTTGGTCATGATAACCTTAAAGCCGGCATTCTCCCTGCCAATGAGGTTTTCCACGGGGACCTTGACATCCTCGAAGGTGATGTAAGCCGTTCCCGATCCGTGGACGCCTTGGCAGTCCATCTCACGGGTGGAGACACCCGGGCCGCGCTCAATGAGGAGGACAGAAACACCGCCCATGCCCGGGCCACCGGTGCGGACGGCTACAGTGAAGTAGTCGGACCAGATACCATTTGTGATCCATTTCTCTATGGAATATTAGCACAAATACATTGTGTTGATTACTACGGGCACCTTACTCTCACCATTGACAATGTAGTGCCTGCCATCTGATGTCTTGTTGGCCTCGCAATTCAAGTTTGCAACATCACTACCCGCACCGGGTTCAGTGATACACAAACAGATCCTCTTCTCGCCAGTAACCATTCCTGGAAGAATTCGGTCCTTAAGCTCCTTCCGACCAAACTTCAATACCAGAGGAAGACCAATCGAGTAACCGCCAATCATGTTCCATACAAATCCACCGGAACCGGTACGCGATAGCTCATCGGTAAGAATAAACTCGTGGAAGTGATCCCACTTCTCCGGGGGAACAGAAGCAACGCTATACGGGGTATATTCCTTGGGGTATTTGACGCCAAGCAGACTATTGAACGGTCAGCGTGACTAACCGAATACAAGAGTAAGGGCAACAGTAGCGAACACACCCCGGAAGATAACCGCGAGTACCCATCTCCTTGTAAATCTCGACAGGAACGAACTTCTGCTTCTCCCAATCATTCAAGTGGGGCTCAATCTTCTCCTCAACCCACGCCCTAACCTCGTCCCTGAGGGCAGCATGCGACGCATTGTAGTAAGGTGAATGATACTAGCCAATCTCCGTCAGCCACAGGTCTCGAACAATTCAATCCCGAGGATCAAGAATAACCTACACCCTGGTACCAAGCAGGGTCGCCAAAAGGAATGAGGTCACCATAAGTGTCCAGAGCCTCCTTCACTTCGTGTACCTCGCTCGTTGGGCTTGGGGCAACGGGTCCGGCTCGCATAATAACCTGCTCCTCCTTTGGTTCCACCTTCTTCGGTTCTGGTAGCGACACGGCCTTGCCCTCCAGGGATCCGATCTGGAGCTGTGCCTTGTACTTTTTCAGGATCCCCTCGTTGTGATATTTCCAGAATTGGGCGGTAGCGTCCTTGCCGCCAACCCTCTGCAGGATCTTCTTTCCGCCCGGGTGGTCATTTTGGAACTATCGGGCCCGCTTGTCAGTATGCTTCGGAAGGGGAGGTGTTATTATCTGCACCTTTGTAACGTCGTATACGTCGTCCTCAACGATGATCCACAGCGAGTCGGGCTTCTTATGCTCGGCCACCTCAGTAGCTTTGAACGTCTTTGACATGGTTACAGGAGATAGGGAGAACAAGGTTGAGTACGAGTACCAGAGAATAGAAGAGATGGGATGCGAGGGGGTGAGAGGAAGGAAGGAAGGGTACGAGTACCGGTACTGTACGAGTACTCGAGCAGAGGAAGCTGGCTTGGGGAAAAATAGTAGCGGGGGGAGGAAGAATGGACTTGCACATGAAAGACAAGGGGAAGAGAACCCATGACATCGTCCCCAGGAATCCTAACAACCAACAAGCAAGGAAGTAAAAGCAACTTTATTCCCAGTGATCGAATGAAGGCTACAGCGCTTTTACCTCTCGCGTCCCTCACATGCCTTTCCAATGTTCACGTGTTCTTCACAAAATCTGGTAGAAAAGAAAACCGATTGGCTGCATTTGCCGCATCGGATTACTCAAAGATTGGGGATATCCTCGGTACAAGTAGGATACCTCGGCAAGAAATGAGTGAACGCCCACAGCGCAGCGACAGAACCCCCGTTTCCTTCGGAGTTGTCAACTACGCAAAAGCTTGAGACAGAGTAAAACATCTTGAGGAGTTAAAAATCCTGAGATCTATGAGCAGTTGGATGAGAAAACCCCGTATTCTAATTTAGTCTATCATACATCTCCAAACACCGATGCGCCATTCACAAAGTTGCCTCCACTCCAAGACCTCTGCTTGAGCTTACCCTGACGACACGTGAGGGCTCTATCAACGAGATTGGCCACCGAATGCAGAGCCTCTCGACATCTTAGGCCCTGCACAAGCTTCTTCAAAACTTTGAAATTCCTTCTCCCTTCCCAAGCTTCACACACTTTCAGTGCTGAGGACGGAGGTTTCTGCACGAAAACTTAACGATAAACTGGAAAGGCCATAAATCTTGATCATGCCCTGGCCAACAATTCCTTGAGGAGGACCTGCCACGATATTAAATTAGGAGGTTTTTAGCTTATGATTTGATACTTTGCCATTTATTCTCCGCGGCGCACGGGTTAATGACGCTGTTGGTCCAAGTGCTTAGAAATATCACACGGGGGGATCAACTGCTGCCGGGCCGCCAAATGGTAAACCCTCGGCTCCATCTCACGATACCGATAAGTTAGCCGAAATATTCAACAACGGTCGAGCCATCATTTATGGCCTGACGCGGGAGTTGAGGATCATAAAACATCACTCGAGTTGTCTGTTGTCAAAGACTTGTCTTCCCTAAGGCACTGCACACTCACGGGCGACATCCCCACAATCGGGGAATCACGATACTCGACCAATGGGCCCACACAGGCCATCACTTATGACACCCTCCTGCCCCGGAACCCTCAAAAATCATCCAAACTAGCATCAGTTCGCTTTCAGAAGCCGCAGAACCTGGCATGAGAAATCAGAAGAGCGAGAATAGTTGGGAACCGCTCGATGGAATCGAACATGCGATGGATATGGTGAACAAATGGTGGAATACCAACATACCAAATAACTCCCTACCTCCAACTATCAATCACATCACGATGTGCTGGACGGGCCTGGCTTATCCCTTACCCCGGCGAATCATCGGTACCGGTGCCTACAACCTTGCACATTCGCGGACAAACCCCCTACGAGCACACTCTACCTTCCGGATGGAAAAGTAACTAGATACCGGTGCCTTATCGACTACTAACCTACTAACCAACTATTGATTGGACCTTACCGTGAGCAAACGGCGTACTCGCACAATCGCGGAAAACCTAAATACATGGCCCTACTGACCGGCCTGCGGGCTAGGGTTGCTAAGATTCGACCAACTGGCGCTAGTAGTGACCGTGTGCTCGCACGGGGTGTATTTTCGGTATTCCATGATTGTGCAGATTCATCGTCTGGCAGATTTACATGCCGTGATGAAAGTTTATCCATACGAGTATCATTACAATCCCGTTCTACAGTAATTATTCTATTTTTTTTTTCTTTTTCACTTCCGACAGAGGTCCGGATGGTAGGGTATGGTTTGATGTTTGTGAAGGGGGTGACGCATCATACGTCGGGACCGGAAAAGCGAAGAGGTGTGGAATCGTCAGGAGGTAATTTTCGGGTGGGATATCATGAAGTCGATACCCGTGCTGGGGGCTCATGGAATACCGGTAGGGGTTTATCTCGAGCCTGGTTGTCACGTTTGGTGCTGCAGGTTTCAGTGGTATGATACCAATGTCGATAATAATAGAACCTTGAAGCAACATCTATGAAAAAGATCTCATGGACTAGCGACTAAGGTGGGGGGAGCCAGATAGCGCAGCAGTAGTTGGAACTTGGGCGCTGTGTAGGAAAGGTAGGGGGGGTACTGTACGATACAGTACTCGTATGATATGGTCAAAAACTTAGTCCTCCTCTTCCCCCACACTTCCACATCGCCTAAACTAAACCAGCTGTAGAGGCCGACGTAGATGTATAAATAAAATATAATCAAAGCATCCTGATCCTTCAACGCATCATCACTCCGCATACTCCTGTGGTATCATAGGATGTGTCCGGAGGATCTTCTCCGTAGGTCACCATGGCCCTAGAACGATCTATCACGCCCCCAAACCATCCATCCAACCCCTCGTCCCTCCCGGAGTCAATCATAACCTCCCAATATCCTCAAACAACCTGCAACGAGCTCGGTGAATAATTGTCATTAGTCTACGCTCGCTCACGAGAATACGGCTCAAGTCGGCTGGGCCGGTGGAGATGATGAGCTCGAGGAATTCTAGTCAGATTTAATTGATAGTCATTGTGCATCACTCGTGATCTCCTTTTCGCTCGATTTTTTTGCGGGGTGCTATTTTTCAAGCGGTTTCCTTCAGGGAATCTCTCTTCAGGGCGACCTCTCTCTGGACTCTATTGTGCGATCCAAATCTATAAATAAGCCTTAAATTTTCCGGGGGCCCATTTACGCCCCAATCTAACCCCCAATCCATTCTTAAGGTGAACACTGCGATTTAAACATGCTTTGTACAATTGGCAGCAGTGGTCTTCACGCTGATGGACTTCCACCAGGTTTTTTTAGAAGAATATTTGTTGGCTTGTGGTGGAGGGGTGACTACTGGCACTCTGGCGCTTTCCTGTGGCCAAAATCAAAAGCCTCTTCCCAACCTTTACCTATGCACAAATAACTGCTTAACCACGCCCTACCTTTGATTTATGGGCGATTTGATATCAGCACAGTTCACCTACCACCAAGGCACGTTGCTACCGGCAGCCATACCTTGTGGGCGGACTTTTGATTTCGGCGGGTGCGGCACTGGGGGTGTCTAAAATCTCTCGTGAGGGGGGTGGAACTGGTTGTGTTCCTAAAGGGTAGTGAAATTTCTCAACAACAAAAAGGTATCCTGGGCGGTGGCCGGGTCAGATTTTTGCGAAATGTGCAAGTCAAGAAGGCTTTTTTTGATTCAGTGAAAAAGTAGCGGAAAACAAGTCAGATCAAGACAAACCGAGAAAGTATCGATATGCGGGAATGCATATGTAACTTAGTCAATACCATACGAGTATAAGTTAAGCAACATCACGCAGCAGGAAGGCCCTGAGTAGTTATACAACGGCAAATCCACCTTCTAAGACAAATTTTGTCTTGTACCGAATCCTAGCACTGATGGAGGTAGACGAATCGTGCAGTCGCAATCGTGGTGAGAAGAGATACCAATATGGACACAGAGTGGAACTCTGAAGTGTTGCGATGCTTCTAGGAATCAAAGAAAGCTTAACATTCAGAGAGTGGAGATCTGCCTCTATATATACATAAAGTTGTGGCCTTGCCAAGGTGCTATACACCCACAGTTGGGACTATGCCCTCATACCAATACTTAGGACTATACCTACTGATACATACTAGCACAATATACAGTAGCCCTTATATCCAATCATACCGACCAGCTTGCTCCCCTATACTCTCCATACAACTCTATACTGCTGGGACTTCAATACCATTAAGCACATGATGCTAGGATTAGTCCCACGATACTCTGAGAGAGCAGATCTGATTCTGATAGCAAATTTCGAACTCAGAGTGAGAGATTTTTGAGATTTTGCATTGCTTGCCCTTTACCCCTAGACATTCTGGACTTTTTCAAATGATATCGCCCATAAACTCACGCGTAAAAAAGTGCGAAATCTACCCTCTAAAGTAGGTCCTGTGACCGGCTTTGCGCGATTACTATATGCTGTGCCATACGCTGGGTAACGGGCAGAGAACGAGACTGGTTGAGGTTTGGTCTATCATATATAGTTCGCATTGAGGATGGGTTGTGTTCCGTTGTGGGTTTGGTGGGTTGAGATATCATACGGTGGAGTTTTAGGGATGGTAGGACATGGTATAGCATGCTTTGAATGGTTATTACTCCAATATGTTAGGGTGGCAGTGGAGGCGCATGACGAGGTATGGTAGGTCTACTTCGTGGATATCGGTATTCCAGAGTTTTCAGACATTCTAACGGATTCAGGAGTCGCAGTCATGTTCAGAGAATTTGTACTAAATTTCCCAAGTGTCGTAAGCCGCTAGAGTGCCTTCAAGTCCCCAACCTTACAATTTTCCCGTGTCATTCAAAAGCCCCCCCCTCACTATCAAACACATCCACCTTTTAAGGAACCTCGGCATAAGTTCTCACGAAGAAAAACCCCCCACAAACGAGAATGGGTGGTAAAACCACGGTCATAGGTGCCAGCTTCACAGACATCCTAGCAACCCTCTTCCACCCATGCATTCCCATGCTCCGCCACGCCTCCTCGAGCGTCAAATCTCTGTCGTCGGTCTTCCCAAAGGTGCGGTCGAACGGGACGATCGGTTCGATGTCTTCGGGGAGGTGAGAGGCCTGAACACGAACCAGGGCGGCAGATGCTGGGAGGACAATACCGAGGAAGAGGAGGAAAGGTGCTAGGATGGCGATGGCACGAGTGGGTCCGTCAACCCCGGCGGCAGCAAGGCTGTGAATGAGTCCTCCGATGAGGTCGGCAAGAAGTGTGACACTTGCAAGGGCTGGGAGGGTCTTTCGGGCGGTGGACCAAGGGGTTGACATCAGTCGGGTGAACCAGGTTGTGCTCCGAGGCTTGGAGATTTGGATGCTTTGTTTAATGGTCAGTACCTTTTCACACATCAATAACCGTGGGAGGGGGGAACATGCTGCGTGCAAACCATAGCAAACCTTCCCAATGCAAGACTGCTGATGATACTGCTGATGATCCTGGCAAGAATTCCTGGCAAGACCCCCCCAAGGGCAATCTGGCAAATCCTGTTGACGAAAAGCCGAGCGATGAGATGGAAGAAGTTCGCATTGAATCCTCTCCAGAGAGCAAAGAACCCGCCCTCGGAACGCAAGTGACGGAGAGTTCCGAAGAGAGAGGATGTGATATAGTGCCTCTCTTCAACGTTGATTCTAGGAACGGCCACCGCCTTGTGGTCATTCTGGCCGAGAGGGAGGTAAGCCGCGGGGGGGCTCTCAATAGAAGTAAGGATAGTCAAGAGCCCAGCGGTGTGGCGGATCTTTCGTTCGTTCGGAGCATCAGTTCAGCCCTTTTGCTCGATATCCCACAATAATAAGACAGCGAGAAATAACAAACCGCAATAATTGAAACCGCAAGGAACAGGAAAACAATTATGACAACAATAGCGGAATAGTTCACTCTGGATTCCCTGGGGAAACCACCCCTCTGTACCAAACCCGTCGTTTCTTCGAGGATCCAGCCGACCAGAGGAGCAGGCACTGCAGCGCCCAAGAACTGCTCTCCCACAGGGAACTTCATGATTACGGTAGCTGAATTGAGGTATTGGAGAGGAAGGAAAATGCGAAAAGAATTAAAAGATTTGGAACGAGCGTGATTGCTGTTGAGGGGGAAGGGATGTTATATGTCGGGGTTTTATGGATGGCTCCCCCAGAGTGATAAAAACGGTAGCATTTCATCTGTATCGAGGACCGCTACTGGGCAATCGCTAAAGATAGTGGGCAATATTTAACTGGCAGGGATACGGTAGGATTCCAAGGTCGCCAACTATTAGAGGGATCGAAAGATATGCCAAGAGTAGGCTGGAGAGCCAGGGTATGTTGGCAAGAAAATTTTGAGTTCCAGCAGCTAAGACCATTGCCAAATTGCCAAGGACAAGTAATGCAAGAGTAGTTAGTATGTAGACCTACCAAATATAGAAATTGGAAACCTCACATGATGATAATGTCCTCACTTCCCATCGTCTATACTGTAAAAAATTTTCAATGAAGTTTTCAAACGAGTTCTACCATGTCTTCAGAATCAACAAGAAATGAATCTCCTTCTCAAACTCCACAAGCACCAGCTCCTGAGCCAAGCGGTCTACCAACAACAGAGCAAGTGAGATAGAATCCGCAACAGGTAGTCTAATTGTCCAACTTAGAGGAACAGAATCGCTATCACTATTTTCATCATAAATGGGCAGCTAGAACCTAGGGGGTTCAAGCTGTCAGCCTCCCTCCGCATCATTTTTTTCAAGACCCTACAAATCCACCTTCTCTGCAAAATATTGGAATAAATATTCTTAGTATGTACATAATAAATATAATAATCAACTTTTAAATTTAAAATACCAAAAAAAAAAGTAGGAAAAAAAAAGAGAGAGATAAATAAACAAGATTACTATATACATAGAAGCTTACAAGCAATGTGAATACAGGAAATGATAATATACAACATGAGCAATATATAGCAAATCCTCTTCCCATTCGAGTACCACATCAAACAAGTATTGAAATTTGAGACCAACTGTCACGAACGTGGCTTAGCGAGGAAAGGGTTTTCACGTGACGCATAGTTATGAGTCACAGGTACGTTATTGTTTCACACATATGACTCATTCGGGTCATATGATTTGTTATGTGTAGGATTTGTGATGCTTTCGCACATGGCTCAAATATGAGTCATGGGACGTACATAGGGCGAGTGTGCCTTGTGAGTGTACCTTGCGAGTGTACCTTGCGAGTATGCCTTGCGGGTAAGCCTTATGCATATGATTTATGTTTTGCACATATAACTCGGTCGAGTCATATGATTGGTTTATTGCGTTATGATTGGTTTATGAGTTTTTCGCACATGACCTCGCTATGAGGTCATAGGGTTTGAACATGTGACCATGTTGGTCACATGATTAGTTTGTTATGATTTTGTTTCGCACATGTGACCACTTTAGGTCACATGATTAGGGGCGGAAGAACACTATATAAGGAGGCCGATGTGGCCGAGGAGGATAGGTTCTTCACGCTTTGTTCTAAGTACTTTTCCTACTTATTACTTTAAACCAATATAAAACACCTTTACGATCTTTATCTTTATTGTGACGTTATTATTATGCCAAGGAAGGTTCTCCACGAAGACGAGTTAGAGAAAGCTTACGATAGGCATTGCCGATAGAAGACAAAGGTCTTGTACTATCGGTAATGTAGGTAGAGGCCGAGAGCTATCGTAGGACAAAGGAAGAAAGAGATAGAAACGAGAAGTATCGTTCCCCGTCGCCAAGAACTAATTATCCAGAGAGGGATCGTTACACCAACAGCAAGAAGCTACCCATTCTAGCATGAGTAATCCTATACTAGGTTCAAGTCAGTTACTGATAATCAATGGCTAACTCCAATTTATCGAATGGGTTCAGAGTCAGCCTATTTCCCATTGCCCAATTCCTGTAATCCCTAAAAATCGCCTCAGCAAGTAGCAAATATTAGTTGTAGTACACGAGTGTCTCGCAGGAGTTGAAGATTATAAAATGATGGGAGAAAGAGAATTTTTTAGCATTCAGAGGGAGATTATTAAATGTACCAAGAAATTTGATTGCAGTGTTGAAGCGGTTATGAGAGACATATTGATTCAAGTAAAGATATGTTGGCCTATTTTCAAAAAAATAATGAAAGCAAAAAAATAAACAAAAAAATAAACAAAAGGGAAAATAAGAAATATATATATATAAAAGTAATAAACAATAGGAATATTATTACTTACAGGAAATATTAGGTTCACTGAAATGCATATAGTGAGTCAAGATCAGATGTTACTGTCGCTGCATTTGATCTTAACCAAGCTGGGATGATATAGTCAGAAATAGAAAAAAAAATGAGGAGGGACTGGTGGGTGAAAAGGCAGACAAGAAGGACAAACTGGACAACCAAGAGACCCAATCACAACTCTGATTAGCTATGACATAAAGATTAGTACAAAAGAAACAAATTGTATTAGTTGAATGCATAAACGTACCTCTCTTGGATACAGATAGGATGGAATTGAATGGGGAGGGAGAGGTGTGAATGGAAAGGGAAGATGCTGAGGAAGATGTTAGGAATACCAGAATCCGATACCTAGGAACCACCCTAAGTAGGGTAACCCCACTTGGAATTGGAATCTCTGGTCTCCAACACCCCCCTCTGGCTCCCTTAAGGGGCCCGCGCGTCATCATATATATCAATCTCAGTTGCGTCCTGTGACTATATTATCACAGAATTTAAGGTCTTAGAATAACACCGTATATGTCGCCGCCATCTGACCGACCGGATCCTGTTTTCAGGATATATGAGAGGGGACCTTCGGCTAGGTCTGGGAAGTGGAACGGAGTGATTCCGTCAACTACTCAGAGAGTTACCAGGCTCCAAAGACATGATACCTTTGGCACAGGCCGTAAGCAATGAGACGATTTCGCACAAAGAGATGGTATCAAATGGTAAAGGATCTCTACAAGAGACCAATACATTTACATCTACCAGAAGAGTCTAGAACTCCAAAAGGACACTATCAAAGAAGCCAACAAACTTCATGGAGTGTTGCAACTGGGTTTCGGAATACGTCGTAGTCATGTAGTGATTCCCAATACTATGATAGTTACTGAAACCTACTACCTAGAGAGCAACCAAGGGTTGCTGACCAAGGGATTAATTACTAATCTGGTGGAATAGCTTCCTGCGAGTTAATAGGAAGTCATCCAGAGAAAATCTATGGGTTGGGTATGGAGTTACAAAGGATCGGAGTCAGGCGATCTATGATGGTTATAATAACGACCACCTTTGCAGATATAGCCGTGGATAAAACTGATCATTTTATCAATGGCGAAGACAATTGGAGCCAACTCAGTTCGACTTAAGAACTAGTCCATAAGTCTAAAGACTCTGCTAATTGGTATATTACTATTGGGGACAGTATGTTTCCTAAGAAGAAATATCATAATTACCGAAGAGGGTGTGATGGTTTTCAGGGTCCACAGGTGTTCGCACCTTGGAAGAAAACTCGATATTGCGAATTATGATTGAAGAAGTACATAGTTGTATGATAGATAGATGTAGTCCGCGAACACTCAGATGTGGAATATAAATATCGAAGTGCCTCCCAAGCTTTAGACATCATCAAGCAACGGAGAAGAGACCTTAATAATATAATATTGTTTTTACGATTCTATCCTACTTTACCTATTTTACTTCGCTCCTAGTAGTCATAAACGAAATGAGTAAAGTCCGAGCCTTTCTAGACAATCTCCGTCTACAGAAACGAATCTCTATTAGCCTAGACAACTTTGAAGTCTATCAAGTTGTCTCCGCCTAACAGAAGAGGACATAGAAGTAGTAGGAGAAAAGGAGAGAGATCAGAGAGGGAAAAAGCGAGAGTGGAAGGAGCAACCCAGAGCAGGTATATTAGCAGGAAAACGCTGAAGATTAGTGCAGAATCAAGAAGAAATTCTTCTTTGAGCATTGGAGGTATGGATGGATGAGAAAGCGAGGAAGTTATACAAGAAAACACTTACAGCTGAAATTGATAAGCTCGTAGGTGTAATTGCTAAAGCAAGTCAGCCAGTACCAGGGAGGGTATCTGGTAGGAGTTCAGAGCAAAGGAGAGGAGAGAGACTTGCCAAATATGAGAAAAAAGGTTGAATGAGTTAATAGAAGCATAAAATATTGTGCAGCAAAAGTTAGATGAGTCAGTAAAAGAGAGAGTGGAGACAGAGAAGCGGAAAGAAGAAAGACAAGTGAAAATGATGGAATTGCTTCAACTTTTAACCAATAAGTAAAGGTAAAATATTGTTTGTACTTTTAGTTTGATTTTATGTATTTTTTTGCTTATTTTCTTAAGTTATTTGAGTTTTTGACTTTGTTTGTAATTGTTTATACAATGATTTTAAAAATAATTTCTATACAAAGTCAAGATACTCAAAATTACTTGGAGTTTTACAGCTAAACTTAATACTAGTAGCTGAATCCCAAGAACATGTATGTATATTTGCAAGAAGAATACAAACTGCATAATAACTTCCCACTGGTAATAGTCCAACCTTGAAGTTTAACTTCCGCCCTAAAAATTCCCATTGCATAAGTGCTTTTCTAAAGTCCCATTCTATACTTATTCATTGTTGTAACATATGCTTATTAAATTGACACTCGGCTGGAGTCATGTCACGATTTCGGAGATTGCCGTAGGCACCAATTATGCCTGGTTCTAAAAGGTAGGCTGGATTACTATAGACTACTGGCTGTTATCCACTTGGTAACCGCATTGTAGGCCATATATTTCTTCCAAATTGTGAAATACTGTACATACTCCAATCACATAATGTACTCTCATAGGGACCTATAGAAATTATTATAATTAACTTAATCTTACATAATTGTCAATAATGTACAATTAGAAATAAGAATTTAAAGTAAGTATGAGAAATAAACAAAGAATTAAATAAAGAATTAAACTAAAGAATTAAACTAAAAAAATAAATAAGAGTAAAAGAATAAAAGGATTAAAAACCTGCAAGATGGATGATTAATCCATCTAGTGCCATAATTACTTGAAATTTAACTGAATAGACTTTTTTGTAAACAGAGTAAAAGAATTTCTAATCCATTGTACTGGTCAACAGATAGCTCGATGGGTACCATCAATAAATCCATATATCCTATTGCCGGGATTGTCAATAGCATCATAATATATCTGAAGTTGCTCTGCCATAAGCC